TATCTAATCACAGGAATATGCTTTACTTGAATAAGCTCAATATACATAAAAGCAGTATTTATTTTTTTCATCGACTTATAATGGAATGGCAAAATAATGAAGAAAACTGCTTATAGAATCCTCTCAAGGAAATGAGATTCTACTTAAACTAAGAAGTGCGGTAATAACACGTGAAATATATAAACCATGGATACATTTAATACAAGTTAAAGTGAAGCAAGCATAAGGTTGCTCGAAAGTTAAAGGGAAGATATAGTGTATGAGCATAAAACGTACATGGTAAAATTAAGAGAGGACATATGACTAGCCAATAGTATACACAAGAGAATCATATCTATAGTGTAGAGCAATTGGTCGGCGCAAAGGTGAGCTGCATGCTGGAAAGGTCATAGCCAATATGAAAGTTTTGTTGTGCAATATTACCAAATATGCTGATAGAATCTGGGGTGCTTCCACTAGAGACCATTGCAAGGCACACAATATTTTGAGAAGCTTCCACAAATGCATTGGATTGTTGCAAGACCACTGACGCCCCACCAGAAAATTGGAAGGTGATCTCTGGAAACTTAGCGGAAGCTCCACTTCCAGAGACATCAAAGCAAAGGTTGAAGACGCCATTTGGATCTGTGACTTGGGAAAGGCTAACGCTGCTCTTCACGTTGCTCTCCACGGATTGCAATGTGTTATCATCAAGGAGTGTTAGAGTCGTGCCAGAGTCAATGATGATGTTGCCTTGGGCAGGCGCCTTGGTTTGTGTGGGCTTCTCGACAGTAACTGTCTTTCCGGCCACGCTGATGTGCTCAAGGCTAAGAAAGTAGAATGTGTCCGGAGAACCGGAGATCAAGGGTGTGGTAACAGCGTTAGAGCCAGAGACAACTGCATTGGAGCCAAAGTTGAGCTTGCTCGTTTCAGATGTTTGGGTTGACGAGGGCAAGCAGTAGGAAAACTTGCTCCCAATGGTAGAGCCGAGTTGGCGGATGAGTGAGAGCTTTCCTCCACCTAAACCAACGAGGCCAGCATCATTCTTGTCAAAAGTGCCATTGCTCTGATGGGTGCACCCAAAGAGAGTTGTGGGGATTTGCACTGGACGACCGCTGGTAGAGTCAAAACCTATTGTCTCCGTGGAGAGGTAGCCTTCGACGATTGACCTGTCACCATATCCATATTGATAGTAGCACTGCAAGGAGGGGCCGCAACTGCTTTGTGGTAGTATCGAGCAAGGGTCGGTATTACAGGAGATTGTTTTGTATGTAGATGAAGCTTGCGGGTCAAAAAGAGGGGCAGTTTGGGAGTAGCATTCATTGCACGGGGCGCATTGGACCCATATGAGATCACTGCCTGTGTCAGCGATGGCGAGGATCTTCTTTGTTGGTGTACCAAGGTAGAAGCTCATCAAGTACTCGAAGGTGTTTGGGGTGATCTCTGAGTAAAAGTTGTCGGCATCATCCATGGGAAGTGCAGAGGAAGAACTACGGGACTTGTGGATGGCATCACGAAAGTAGATGGCACGGGAACGAGAGCGGTCAGCTGCCGCACGTATGCGGGATGAATATGTGGATTTGGGGTCATAGAGCGGCGACTTGGGGGAGTCGCGATGGATGAGCTCTATAGAAAAGCCATTGCTACTACACGATGCTAGAATTGGAAGGTGGCTGGCAACCGAGAGAATGAGCAGAGCGATTGGAAGATGGTATGAAGAGAAGGCCATATTGATGTGTGGAAGTTTCTTTATTTTCCTTTGTTGGTTCGTTGGTGATGCTTATGGTGCAGAAATATAGTATTTATAGATTCACATAATAGAACAGGGGAGTGAAATATATTTATTTATTCTTACTATTTTATATCATTTCCTAGGAAATGAAGCACAACGGAAAAAACAAAGAACGTGACGTGAGTAGCGAAACATGCTTTATCTATTATTTTATTCCATAGCATTAAAAATGAAATTAATTGAATATTAGAAATGCATGCCCAGCCGGAACCATTTTCCTTCTACGTGAACGTGCAACTGTACAACATTCTCCTTCCTATGACTTTCAAAACAATCCCATATATCCACTTGAATAGTACGTACGACGTTACTTGAAAGCAAACAATTAATTATATCCACTTGCGACAGGATGCCATGTTTGGATTAATAAACAATTTAATTGTTTAATATTCTCTCTCACTTCTTAAAAATTGGCATACTTCTATGTTTTCAGCAAGCCCATTGGAAAGATGAATATTACTCCCCAATAATAACATTTTATTATATTTTCTTCCTACAATTTAGCTCATTGGAATGTTATTTTTTTCACCATTTTGTTCTTGATTTCCAATTCTATATTTTTTAAACTGAATTACTTATCAGTAATTATTTTAAATTTATAAATATAAAGCCATAATTGGCCAATCTAAACTCAATGTGCGAAAATCAAAGAGGAATAAACCTGTGTGAAAATCAAAGAGGTATAAACCTATCCAAATTATGTTTATCAACCAAAACTAGTTAAACTATTTTTGAAGATAAAGTTTGATGAGAGAACTTCATTGTCATAAATGTTGTGCCCTTGCCACCACGTCTATTTAAAGTTTGGGGACAAAATCAGTGTTGCACCTTCAAATCTAACAGATTAAGACGCAAAAATATGAACATGTAATGTCAAGGCCCAACAACATCATATGGTGAGGCTAACATTGGAATGTTATTTTTTCACCATTATGTTCTTGATTTTCAATTCTATATTTTTTTCATCGCTAGTTAACATGACTACATATGGGATTAGTAAATATGATTAGAAGATATTAATTTGGTTATAAAGGAAACACAATAACTTCTAAATTATGTTATTGAGTGGAGAAGTATCAAGTGTGACATTGGACAAAACAAGAATGTTAGTCGCCAAATTAATACAAGACCGAACCAATTTCATATCCTCAGTAGTTTCAATAAATGAGTCTAAAACCGCAAGCAATGCATCTATCCCGAAGAATAGATACACTACTTACTGGTAAGACTCGACTAAAAAAAATAAAGAGTTTATCATATCTTTTTGAGTCTGCAAAAAACAATTTTCATGTTGACCGACAAGTTCATCTATTTAATATGAAAAATTAAAAATGGTTTATATTAAGCTGGATTCTTACAATAGTTACTAAAGCCATCTAAGAAAACTCTCGATTAAGATCAGGGAATATTGTCTTCAAACAATTCAAAGGGATAGGACTCTTCAAAAGACCAGACAAAGAGGTGTGAAAGGGGAATGACTCAAATTTGAAATAATTTTATGGAATCCAAAGGAAGAAGAGCTGGCGGTTGCCACGGATTCTGAGGAGAACCTCGGTGACTTCCCAAGCTATCCTATAGTTTTGCTTCAGTTTCAGAGAAAAGAATTATTTAAATGTTACATCCTGTCAATTTTATTAAATAAGGCTTATATTTATGCAAGACGGTCACAAAATAGCCTGGAAGATGTGAGAGTTTAGGCCTTGACGAACGACAACCTCAGAATCCTAAAACGAGTTAGGGCTTAAATTGTAAAACACAGTTATACAAAGGTCTAAAGAAAAAAGTTGAGCATTTATGTTGCATTAGGAGGACAACCTCGAAATCATATGGCTTGTTGTTTAATTCTAAGAAAAGATGTGTTTTTTGTAGATGCTCATGTTGTTGTAGAAAGGCTGCCCACAAAGTTAGCTCCACGCTCTTCGACAATGTAGCAATCATAAAGTCTAAGGTTTAATGGTTTAAATGACAAGTTGAAGTTCAATTATGAGGGGGGGAGTTGAAAATGATTAGAGTGACACTGGTTAGAATCCCACTGTTCTCTCGTTTCAGTGTCATTATTTTCTTTGAAATTACTTAGCTTAAATGAGTTGTTAAACCCATTTAAACTGGGGAGATCTCGTTAGCAACTATGAGTTACCTCCATCGAATGACTCCTATAAATTCGAAATGACATTTTAAGTTAAGTGACATTTCAAAGGATATATGGTTTCCTTTGAAACTATTTGTTTTAGGTTTTTGAAAATGTTGATTAATTTTTTAAAATGGTTTTGGCTTTTGCAAGTAAAGTAAAGTGCACAACCAAACATTTATCGTATTTGGAAGCAAAAGTAAATTGCAGTAAAGTAAAATGATAGAAATTAAATAACACTTGTAAAAGCATACCTTTCATCTTCTCGGCATTACCGCTGAAAGGTTAGAACTTGCAACATATATAGAATTTTGCAGGAGATTCAAATAAATTGCAAGAGTCGAGAAAGGTTTAGTTTTTGAACCCTCAAACCAAGACTCAGTGAGTCCCGAAAGATCTTAGTGGATGATTTTCTAGAACAAAATATAGCAAGTTCAATTTGTCCTTCAAAATATTCAAGAGATTCCAAAGTGTTTGGGGAATGACCCTGAACCTCTTTAAAGATCCCTTGAAACGTTCGAGTTCATTTTTAACTTATTATATTGTTCTATTAATCATTCCCAAGGTTGAATTGAAATTACCCCATTACTTAGTGAACCTTGACATTTTAATTATCCCAAGAAATAAAGAAAGTTAGACAATCGCTTAACATGTCATTTGATAGTTATATGATTGGGCACCCAAAGGGCAAGTCCAAAATCATTAAGGATTTCAATACCCAGAGTTAAAGTAGGGCCTAAAGTGTTTGAAAGTGTTTATCAATTAATTCATTCCATCTTTTCTAATCCTAATTAAGACAATTCTTACATATCAAACTTAGTTCAGTATTAGGCCCTCTCAATTTCAATTTTCAAAGTAAATTTAAGATAATTAAATATTGAAATGGAATTTCAATCCTCATTAAAATCAAAATTAGTATGATAAGTAGGATTTTCCAGAATTAATTTATTTAACTTATCAAAACAAGATTTTTGGACATGATAAAATTATTAGAGGTTCGCATAGGTCATATAAACACTTAAACAAAATTTTATGATTTTCAAATTATAATTTAATTATTATAATTATTTAATGGTTTTAATGATTATTTTATATAGCAAATGTATTTTAATTACAAAAATTATTTGCTTTATTTTTTATTAAATCTCTCTCAGTTCAGAAAACTCAAAAAAACAAATTTATATTTTTATGATTTTCAGTTTATTTATTATAATTATTTTAATGAAAAATTAAGAAAAATACTTTTTTATTCTTTAAAAACTTATTTTTAACTTATAAATATTAAGAAAAATTTTTTAATGAGTCTTAAGTGATCGGGAAACAATTAGAAACATTTGAACCATTTTCATATTTTTTGAAATTTTTAATTTTTTTTATTTAAAATATAGTTAAAAAATGATGTATTTTCTCAAAAATAATTTTTATTTTTCTTAAGTGGCCCCTGATCACAAGGAACTTAGAAAACCAGTTTTCATAATTTTTTTTAAGTCTATTTTCTCAAAAATAATTTTTATTTTTCTTAAGTGGCCCCTGTTACAAGGAACTCAAAAAATCATTTTTCATAATTTCCCTAAGTGTATTAAATTTAATATAATTATTTTTGTACAAATTAATTTAATATATTTTTTTTGTACAAAAATACAATTTTTCTTATAAAACCAACTTTAGTACTTAAACTTAATCAAATAATTTTAGAACTTTTACAGTGTGTCAACTTTATTTTTCTGCACTATTTGAAATTAATTTTTATTATTTTTTTAGTAATATTTAATCTAAATAAATTAATACAAGTTATAAACATTTAATTACCTATAGAAATATATAAAATTATCCAAACCATGCTGATATTTTTCCTAAGCTCTGGTGATCATATGGAACCTACTAAAATTCATCCCATAATTTTCTAAGTTATCTTTTAATTTATATAATTATTTTAAGCCAGAATGACCATCCAAGCTTGGAAATTAGGGTTACAAGCATAGAGATGCTCTCTCATCTTGGAAAAATAAGAAATCATATCTTCTATTTTGAGGGATAAACCATAAAGGTTCCTAGCCATGGCGAACAATATTTGATCAAAATAAATTAAAATACCACAGAGACCATTTAATTAATTCAAACTCAAAGACTCAACAAATAATTTTTATTTTTTTTCCACATTAGTTTCCTCTGTTCATTGAGCAAGAGGGTAGTTTTACTTTATTTTTATGATTTTTTTTTGCAGAGTCATAGATTCTTAAAGTTCTCGTATTTATTTAAATCATTAAAATCCCTATTTTTCTATTTATCCACGCGGTGCCGCGTCAACCTATGCATCTCCGAAGCTTCCACGATGTCTTTTGATTCGGCACCGCCATCTGACTCAGTGATGATTCAGTTCGCTCGTCTGACGCCTCTGCAACTATTAGATCAATTCACGCGCAAATGGACGACATCCATTGATCATCCCCGATTAACTTAGCCCATAAGCTGTTCAACTTTAACCTTAAGATTTCTCTCGATACTCAACCAAATCACATGGGGTATGCTCCTTCACCTTCATCTAATCAAAACGAACACATTCATATGGTTACAATTCTATGAAATACAATATATACACATGGAGAATAAAATTAAACTCAGATTGAGGAGAGAGTTTAACACCTTTTTCTGAGAGGTGTGGCCTCAATTAGATGGTTGGAGAGGAGTCCAACGAGCCTTCCAATGAGTTGTTGGGTCGTGGTGAATTGTCTGGTTATAATTTTGATCAAACGTGTTTTCAGGTGTTGGTCTAGAGCTAGGTTAGAGGCTCTCTATGATGGGAGTTTTG